TGAAATGAAAATTAAGCATAATGATTTCTTATATTTACGCAAACACTACACATTGAAATAATACTAGTTTTTACGGAATTTATCGCGTATATTTTAACTTTTTAAATACCCGACGTTTCGAACGCTTTACAGCACTCATGGTCACGGGCAGGACTGGTTCAACGTAATGTTACGTTGAACATCTCAGTCCTGCCTGTGACCATGAGTGCTGTAAAGCGTTCGAAACGTCGGGTATTTAAAAAGTTAAAATATACGCGATAAATTCCGTAAAACTAGTATTATTTCAATGAAAATTAAGCAGTTGATGAAATACCATGCTAGCAGCCAAAGGCATTATGGCTATGTCAACTACGGGGTCGATATTATATCCGATAATTTCGATGAAGCTACTGATGCATTAGTGTTTTATTGCTCGGTATAAACACAACGTGAAAAGTACCCATAGCCAACTTTTTGATTAAATTTGAATTAAAATATGAGTTTGATCAGACTTTCAAAAACTGGCCATAATTATATTTACTAATAAAAACAAAATTTTATTTAACACTAAAAAACCCTTCACTGCTGACAATATAAGGAAGCTCAAAGTCACTCAGCAAGCTACGGAGATGACTATGCTCGGGGTTTTCGGGGCTTCGGGGTTTAGTAGAACCAGAGAGCCCGACATAGCTCAATGGATTAGTAGCTGAAGCGGCAATGGGCCGGCCATATAGTTTGAAGTATCCACAACCGATGGGGGGGAAAGGTTCTCGATTGGCAGCCTCGGGGCTACCCCTCAATAGATGGAGTGACGACCCCAATAGAAGTAGATGGATGCAGGTGGATCAGAACCGTGCTTAGTGGCACTCCTAGGGGGAGGTCTATGTTCAGCAGCGGACTTGTGAAGATAATGAAAGAAAAAATACTATAAATCACTTTTACCAACGCTGAACTTATGCGGACTACGACGATGATTTGTTTATCGATCAATAATATCGACATAGCCCTCGCCTTACGTTGCTTACGCACGTGGACAGCGGCACGAGAGTATCGACACGTGTACAATTTGATGGTATGCGTAAATGCAATGAACACAAACACAAATGCCGTAGTGTGCGTGTATAGTGATGCGATTCAATTTTGCATTTGTAGCAAAGTATACAGTAGTGTGTTTTTCTTGCGCCCCTATGACCTTGACAAAGTTTTTTGTTTAGGAATAAACGCGCATGGCCTCTCCAGTTCATTTAATACTCAAAGCACACGACATAAATATAATTATATAGTCGATAAATACATGCGTAATATAATAAATAACGCTATAATGAAGAATGCTGTATCTCACTGAAAGGCTATAGATCAAAAAGCTTTTGTGTGAGACATGTTTTTATTTTCGCAACTATGAAAGCCATTAATTGACATGGGCCTCTGCGATTATAAATAGGATTTGCCATAATAGCAATACTTGGCAGGCTGACTGCTATTACAGTGAAATTATTTCTCTAAATAATATAAACAAAGAAACACTATAGACTATATTATGTGACTCTGAATGTGTATTTGTATGATTGTGTGATCGTGAGTGCGTGTGTGTGTGTCACTGACCTCTATATATACAAGTACGCTGGACTGGCTATACCATACAAAATGTCTGTGCCAATTTGAAGCGCCGCTAGGTAAAGGATACCTATCTTGAAAAATAAAATTGACATAATATGCCAAAGTATAATGTCTTATTCATATTGTCATATTTAATAAGTCTGTATTTTGAACATTTAAACTAAAAAAACGAAAGTATTTTATGTTGTTTCATTGTGTATAATACTAGTTACATAATAAGAATTATTTTTATTAATGAGAGGGTGCGTAATCTGTAAAACTCATTACCAAAAGGGAAGTTTGCAGTAAATATTAAACAAATTAAAACTAATGATTTCTTAAATTAAACTATTTGATAATATAAGTTACTTAGAAATTTGTTACTAATCTTAATATCATATATACAAACATGTTTAGCTGTATATTACTGAGTTTTGATAAACAATAAAATTCAATAGGGTTGTCGAGTTCCTTGTATATAACTTATCGATGTTCTTTCCTACCCATATCTGTTAACAAACAAACCCCTTTGAATAAGTGCAGTATACCTACAATATTTTCTGGCACTACCAAGTACTAAGTATTAGATTATTGTTTCGAATGTTTTTTTTTTATTTCTTCTTTCCTCATTTTCCACCAAACTCAAGGGCCATAGTCAAGTGTCGAAAGGTCGCCTGATGATGTCGAGCCACGTTGGATGTGTGTTAGTGGGCTGCGGCTAGAGGAGATTCCTCTCCCTGTACCGCTGTAGTCGAGGTGGAGTCGTAAGGGAAGAGGAGTGTTGGTATGGCGATTGGCGATGCGCCACTCGACTGTCTTTCGCAACTTTGGTGCTGGCTGCACCACTTGATAATTCCAAATGCTCGTTTTTCCCTGGCTCCGTTCAAATATCGGGCCCGGTAATTGATAATTTCAGTTATTTTTTTAATATTGTGATTTTAATTTCGAAAATGACGTTGTAAATAACTGATAACTATGTAATTCAAAGTTTATATTTTTTTATATTATCTTGCTAGCTTGCGCATTGCTGCCGCAGAAGAAGTAATTGTGGAAATATCGTTAAAAATGTGGAACAGTTATATTGTATAATTAGGAATGATAATACAATCATTGAAATAGAATGATATATAACTATCTATAACTTTCAATTAGTCAGTCAGACGCACGCCACCTAGTGTCAGTTAATTGTACCATGCCTATAACCTTCGCACAAGTGCAACCAATAAGTTGACTAAGTTTTACCGCAATCTGATGAACGGTATGGCATCGTAGAAAGTACGAACAAACATAAATTTTTATGTCGTAGAAAATATTTTACTGTCTATAGACAGACCTGTAGTTGATTAGAATAGGCGTTATTATAGCAGCTGATTTGTTTTTTATAATACTAAAACTAAATAAACATTGACAATAAATTTATCCAGAAATTATGTTTTTATTTTTATTTTGTGTACTTAGTTTAATCTTAATAATTTTTAGTTGAATGGTTAAGGGCTATGATGGCTATCCGAGTACAGAACCAGAGTACAAAACTAATCCAACTGTAGAGATGTGTAAGGCAGGTTGACGTACTATCCCTGAAACACTTTACCGCTGCATTGGAAAACATTTTCAACCTACTGGACTGGAAAGGATACGGTATTAACGTCAATGTCGTGTACGTCACTCACCTTCGATTTGCCGACAATATAGTCCTTATAGCACAATCGCTGGAGGACCAACGCACTATGTTCAATGACCTCAATAGTGTCTCCCTACGGATAGGTCTTAAGATGAACATGGACAAAACAAAAGTCATGTATAATGTCCACGTCACACCTATGCCGGTGGATTTTGGGAGCTCTTAGCTGAAGTCGTTGATGAGTATTTTATTGCGACAAATAGTCCGACTAGGTAAGTTCAACTTCGACCGACAGGTCAATCGACGGATTCAACTCGGCTGGGCAGAGTTCGGGAGATTACAACACATCTTCCGTCAGGAATACCTCAAAACTAGATTGTACAACCAATGCGTGTTGCCAGTGATGATATGTGGATCTGAGACGAGGTCTTTCACTGCTGGCCGTATGACGAAGCTCGAAGTCACTCAACGAGCTATGAAGAGGGCTATGCTCAGGGGTTCAAACTTAGGAATGAGGATATCTGCAGCAGAACCAGAGTGACTGACATCGCCCAACGGATTAGTAAGCTGAAGTGGCAATTGACCGGCCATATAGCTCGAAGAACCGAATCCCGATGTGGAGAAAAGGTTCTCGAGTGGCAGCCTCGTACTGGCAGGTGAAATGTAAGACGTTCCCCCACTAGATGGAGTCAAACCCTGGTAAGACATGCGGGAAGTTGATGGATGCAGGTAGCTCAGGACCGTGCTTTGTGCCATTCCTTGGGGGAGGCCTATGTTCAGCAGTGGATTTGTGAAGGTTTTTAATGATGATGAATGATAATGGCATTATATTAATATAATACATAAATAAAATGGACGTTACGGGTAGAGTCCATCTATCCATAGATTCCATTCTATTTATTTAGGTATAGGTAGGGTATAGAACTTTTATCGACATAATTTGGTACACTGTCTTATCCCTAGTATTAGTTCCGTGGACGTGCACTTCTGCTGTCAGCGCCAAAATGGCGGAAATCAAATCGCTTCATCATGTCACGGTGTATAGCCAGTCCAGTGTACTTGTATATATATAGAGGTCAGTGATGTGTGTGCATGACGCGAGTATATTTTTTCACGAAAACTTAATATATAACATAATATGCTTACCTTCCAGACATGATAGCTGGTATGGCTTGAGCCTGTATGGGCGTTGGTTTCTCAAAATTCAATTTCTTTAATATATCCATCTCTTTCTTACTGATACCACAATGCGCCCACGTCCTTATTGGCTTCGGACATCCCTTGCCCTTGACACGTATACCCTCTAACTCTGTTCTGTAAGCTTCTACTTCTTCTGGAGTCATTCTTGCTAATTCATTCACCTTGAAGTAAGACGATAAATTGTAAATATAATTTAACACGCTTGACACGCCTATTTTTAAATGGAATAAGGGTGACTAGAGCTCACAGTCCACCTGATGGTAAGTGAATGCTGTGACCCCTAGACATCTACATTTATCCTCAGTCAAAAATTAAAATGCGGATGCGTTGTCACCCCTGTAGACTGAGATGGAATGCCTGGGTTCCACTTTCCAGTAAAAAGGGTTTTCGTTTGTTTACACTCACCACACATAGCTGCTATTTTATGCTGGTATTCTGTGAGAGTGTGGTCGCACCCCAATTGAGCCGACCCATTCATGGTTGTAGCCATAGAAAAGCTGCAGCGTGGATCTGCCACGTAAAAATTGACGATTGGTTGACAATTATCATATAAATTATTTCATTCTACAGTGCTCTATTTTTCAGGTCACCGTTCTGAGTTCAGATACAGCAAATCATATATACCAATATATGATTTGGGGTTGATGAATTCTCTTATTTTCCCACTAGTCATTTTTATCAACAGTGTTTAGTGTTAGAATTACTAATAAGCAATAGAAACAGAATTAAAACATTCCTAGTTATAATAGACTTCTCTATATAATATAGAATAAAACAAAGTTGCTTCCCCGTCGTCTGCACACTTTGATCTTTTAAACTACGCAACGGATTTTGATGCGGTATTCATCAATGACAGAATAATTCAAGAGGTAGGTTTATATGTACAATACATGCATATGTTGTCGAGATCCAAAAATCACCCGTGCAAAGCTGGGGCGGTTTGCTTGTTAAGTAATAAATTAATGGCTGCGTTTGGCAGAAAAAAGCGCTAGGAAGCGCTTGTAAGCAAAATGGCGATCGTAAGCGCTGTTAAATCGTAAGTAGCTATTTTCCTCTAGGGCACGAAGTTAGCTTTAACCGGGGAACCTAACCTAATTTTAATATATGTTTATAAAGTATTCATATTAAAAACTTACCAATCATGAATTTTTAATAACATGTATAATATGTTTATTCATGTCATTATATTACTTGAAACTAATATTGCACAAAACAACTTATAAACTCTACTTCAAAACAAACAAAGTAAATAAGCAAAATGGCGGATTGTGTCAGCGCTACTGAAGTTAGCAAACGTGTCCTGGCTAAAACTGTTTAGTTTCTCCATTTTGCTTACAAGCGCTTCCTAGAGCTTCTTTCTGCCAAACGCAGCCAATAATATACATATGTCTCCATGAGCTGTGGTAGTTAAGTGGCTAAACGTTCGCTGTAAATTTTCGCGGGTTCGACCATCGCCGGTACCAATTAAATTGTTAATTTAAATTTCGAATGATTTATCACGGGCTCGGCGGTGGAGAAAACATCGCGAGGAAACCTGCATGTCTGAGAAATGAGAAAAAAATATTTTGAAAGACATGTGAAGTCTGCTAACACGCATTAAGGCAGCGCAGCGGACTTCCTTCCCATAAAACCATCTCAGAAATGAGAGGAATATAAAGTAAATAACACTTTTCCGCCATTTTTCAATTATTGTTCTGTCCGCCAAAATTTTTTTACAATGTATTACAAAAAAGAGAAAATATGCGACTGCATCCACGAAAAAAATTGTGACGTTTATGGAGTGTCAGTAAGAGTAGCATAAAGTTGGTTCAAGCATTTTCGGCAAATAAGCAATTTGCAATTTTGATTCAAATATGCAGCTCGCCCTGGTTGCCGTGATACATATAGATAGTCGATGCCATTTTGGAAAAATTGAGCAAGATCGGCATATTAGTAGTTACTACACAGCAATGAAATTAAGAATTGACCACAAAACAGTTTTGAAATGAAATTTTTTGTATAGCCAATGCTTTCAAATGAAAGAGTTGGCTACACAAAAAAGCTCGATATTTGAGTAGCTCGAGCTAATGAATCGTGTACTCATTTGCGATTCTATATTGAAACATAATAAAACCAAACCAAATTTTGAAAAAGATTGATCACTGGTGATGAAAAGTGGACCACCTACGATAAGAACGTGCGAAAAAGATCATGGTCAAAAGATAGTCAAGCCCACAGACCGTAGCGAAACCCAGATTAACACGCAATAAGGTGATGCTGTGTGCATGGTGGAATTGGAAGGGCATCGTTTATTATGAGTTAGTACCAGTGGGGGAAAACCATTGATTCAGATCTCTACTGCCAACAACTAATGAAACTCAAGCAAGAATTTGAGAAAAAAGAGCCGGAATTGATCAACAGAAAAGGAGTGGTCTGGTCTGGTGGTTTTTCATCATGATAACTCCAGACCACACATCTTTGGCCACTTACCAAAACTTAAGAGCTTGGTTGGGAAGTGTTAATGCATCCTGACCTTGCATTCATCAGATTTTCACCTTTTTCGGTCTCTTCTGAATTCTTTCAAAACTACTTGTCGCATTTTTTGACCAAGCATCCCAAGATTTCTACAGCAATGGGATTATGTCTAGTCACTACCTTCAAGATAGCAACAAGTTATCAAACAAAATGGCATATATATATTATAATTAAATGTAATTAAACTTTGAAAAAGTCTTGAATTTTTATATAAAATACGAAGAATGAAACGATGGCTATCCGAGTATAGAACCAGAGTTCGAAACCTATCCAACTGCAGAGAGGTGTAAGACAGGGTGATGTTATATCCCCGAAACTCTTCACCGCTGCGCTGGAAGACGTTTTCAAGCTACTGGACTGGAAAAGATACGGTATTAACATCAATGGCGAGTACATCACTCACCTTCGATTTGCCGACGTTATAGTCCTTATGATAGAATCGCTGGAGGACCTTAGCACTATGCTCAATGAATGGTGTCTCCCAACGGATAGGTCTTAAGATGAACATGGACAAAACAAAGATCATGTTTAATGTCCATGTCACACCTATGCCGGTAGTTGTTGGGAGCACTATGCTCGAAGTTGTTCACGAGTACGTTTACCTGGGACAAATAGTCCGACTAGGTAAGTCCAACTTCGGACGAGAGGTCAATCGACGGATTCAACTCAGCTGGGTAGCATTCGGGAAATTACGACACATCTCGGCAGGTATACCTCAATCTCTGAAAACTAAAGTGTACAACCAGTGCGTGTTGCCAGTGATGACTTACAGATCTGAGACGTGGTCCTTCACTGCTGGCCATATGAGGACGCTCAAGGTCGCTCAGCAAGCTATGGAGAGGGCTATGCTCGGAGTTTCTCCGCGTGATAGACTCAGAAATGAGGATATCCGCAGTAAAACCAGGGTGACCGACATAGCCCAACGGAATAGTAAGCTGAAGTGGCAATGGGCCGGCCATATAGCTCGAAGAACCGATAACCGATGGGGAAGAAAGGTTCTCGAGTGGCAGCCTTGTACTGGTAGGCGTAGTGTAGGGCGACCCCCCATTAGATGGAGTGACGACCTAGTAAGACATGTAGGAAGTCGATGGATGCAGGTGGCTCAGGACCGTGCTTTGTGGCATTACTTGGGGGAGGCCTATGTTCAGCAGTGGACTTGTGAAGGGCTGTAATGGTGATAATGATGATGACGAAGAAACTTTTTGCCCGACCTTATGTTTTGTATCATATTTCCATTCAACTGTAAGGGTATCACCTTCTCGAAAACTATTTCGATGATATTTTCGATACACAATGGCAACAAGCTTGTCCGCACAATATATTTGATAATTCTGTGTTTTGCCCAATTATTTGCTTCAGCGGAGTTCAAACTAAGGGCATAAAGACCCACTTATCTCAATAAAATTATTAAGATTGACTGGCCGCAAAGTTAGTTATAAAATCTCACCTCAGTGTAAAACGCTTTTCTGAAAGGCATATAGTGTAAACTGGCATGATCAACTTTGGCTAGCTCCTTCCTTTGTTTAGAAGCGAGAGTTGCCGCAGCATCTTTAATATCTTCAGTTTCTTCCTCTGACGAATATTCTAGCCCATCTTGGTTCTGTTCTATTAATTCACCTATAACATAACAATCATTCAACTATTTATTAAATTTGATTCCTGTTATTTAGTTATTGTATCACTCTTTGACTTAGTCTCATCAAAATAATGTTTCTAACATTAATCAGGCAATTTATATGTATATCATCAAAGCAATCTGACAAACAAAATAATCTACTTCTGCCGCTAGACATCAGTGCATACAACATTGCTGCCTGTAGGGTATAGACTGGCTTTCTATAATTATCTAGAATAATTACAGGCTGAGAGCCATTCCATATTAGTCCTTAGAGGTGACAATTAGTTATTTATTTATTAAAATAGAAAAGAATAGATTCTTCTTTTTTTTACAATATAGATTACAAAAATACTTGAAAGTAATTTAAGCTTTACTATTATAAAAAGAGCCGTGGTAGCTCAGACGGTTAGTGCTTGTTGTAGTCACATTACGCGAGCAACCCAGGTTCGATCACCGTGGCACCAATGAAATTGTTAATTGCTTAAGTGCTGATTTACCACATGCTCGGCGGTGAAGGAAAACATCATGATGAAACCTGCATGTCTGAGAATTAAAAAAAAATTTCGAAGACTTGTGAAGTTCGCCAACGCACATTGGGGCAGCGCAGCCGACACTTCCTTGCCCCAAAACCCTCTCAGAAATGAGAGGAGGCCTATCACCAGCAGTGGGACCTTACCTTTCTTTATTACAAAAAGAATACTAATAATATATACAACTGCCTCGTTGGTCTAGTGGTTGTAGTAGTGCGACTGCTGATCATGAGATCTTGGGTTCGAATCCCAGGTCGGGCCAAAAAATTAATTATTGAATTTTTCCGTCAAGAAATTCTCAGTAGTTGCCCGGAGTCAGGAAGTTCGCGGTGTCTCACCCCCGTGCCTCGGAAACCACATAAAGCCGTTGGTCCTGCGCCTGATCTCTCTCCGGTCGTGTCGGCTTACCATCCCATTGGATTATGAGAGTAAGGGAATAGAGAGTGCACCTGTGCTTGCGCATGCGTTTGGACACTATAATCCTTTCCTACGCCGATAGCTAGCCTCCGTTGAGGCAGGCCGCCGTGACCGAAATTCGGTCTGGAGGACATTATTACTAATAATATTACAATGCATCTGCAGCCTTATTTATTAAAAGCTGGTTGCAGGTGTACATTGGGCTCCAGTATTCACTTACCATTAGGACAGCTCTAAGTTCGTTTTTTCTCGTTAAAGTTTCACTTAAAAAATCAGAGCCAGAATAATTTACACATTAAATAATAATAAGCTAAAATGATGTACCTTTATTCTTTTGTTCTGTGACCTTCTTTTTAGCCGTTCCAGTAAGAATGACCACACCAGTACCACCTCCAGAAGGAACACTTATTAAACCTCTCGACTGATCCATTTGATTTACCTTCCGAACTTCCTTTAATATGTAAACAGTTGCAATAAAAGATAACAATTAGTTGAGTTTGTAAAAATTTTCTTAATTCATAAATAACTAAATAATGATTACATTAAATTTCGATTATTTTCGTAAAATATCGAAATGAAAATGGAATACGTACTTGTTGCACTTCCTGCATGTAAGCATCCAAAGGATCAATTTCATCCTCTTCTTCCTTTTTCTCTTCAGTGTTTTGTTTTTCTTTAGTCTCTCCATCCTCACCTGAGTAATAAATAAGAATAATTTTAAACTTGTATTAAAATGATACATTTGATGAGAAATATAGCATACAATATTTCTTTAATATATTATATCATTAAATTCAACACATTGATTTTTTTAAATAAATGTCCTAATTAATGTTTATAGTAAAAACTAACACATACATATTTGTATAATTTATTTTGTTGTCATATAGCTGATTGATATAATAAATATTTAATATAACACAATCATTTGTATACACATAATGTAAAGTAATGAAAAAATGTTATATAGCCTGGTCTGACATATATTACTGTCAGTAAATTATAAGATAAAAAATAGGCTTAGATGCAGTGTCAATTTTAAACTTTGCGTCTAATGAATTGGAAGTTACATACCTTCATCACCAGAATCATCTTCTAAAGACCATTTCTTTACAGCTGCCGTCTGAATGTTGGTGACCAAACTACCTTTCTGTACTTCCTTCTTTGCAGATTCCAGTTCCTTACGTTTTCGTTCTGCACGCCAACGCTCAATGCGGTCTCGTCGTTTCTGCATCTCTGCTTCTAGACGGCTTTGCTCTTCTTCCTATTAAGAAATCAATCAAATATAAATTGCCTTGTCTTTGATTACAAGCCAAAAAAGGTAAAGCAAGCATTAAAATACAATACCATTTTCATGATGGTTCATTTATCTGTAAAATGTATTTATATATCAACATAATTTTGTGTTATTAAATAACAGTCACTGCTATAGTTTCTTGCAGCATTGTTCTCACCACTCCATGGGTTGTCTAGTGGAGAATTTCTAATGGTATTAAGTCTGACCTATGTTATGTAACAGGTAATGCAATAAAGAATAAATAAATAAATAAAATCAGGATTGTACAGTTGTGAGTCCACTAAAGTTGCATACAGCAAATTTGTTCACAAACATTTTGTGCAGAAGTCCAACAGTGCACACACTGAGCAGCAGATGTCACTGCTTCTCCCGGTAAAGCTTGTCGTAAGTTTCGTAGATGAATATAAGTTTTGTAGATAAGATTTTCACCTATAGAGTGCTGCAGCTTGTGTCATATTGTGCAGTTTACTTAACAAAAAATAAAGTGCGAAAACACGTTTTTGGGTAAGACTGGAACTAAAGACTGAGTGCTTGTAAGCTGTGAGTGTGCGTGCGCTAATACGACACCACTACTTGTACGAATTTACAGTAAATTGTACATTAACATTGTGACAAAGCTCGCGCACATTTTGTGAGCAATGCTTACTTGAGCGAGTGTCCAATGAAATAAACATTTGTGCCATACACTGTGCAGCATATTGAAGTGCCACACATTGGTGGAATTGCTCCTTATTATTATGTATTATATGTGGCAGTATAGTTGTAGCACGAATGGGTCGGCTCAACCGGGGAGGACCACACTCTAACACAGAATACCAGCGTGAAATAGTAGCTTAATGCTGCTGTATTTTGTATGGTGAGTGTAGAGAACCGGAGACCCTTTTTACTGGAAATGAGGCATTCCACCTTAGTCCTCACGGGTGTCAACGCATCTGCATTTTGATTCGTAATCGAGGATAGATTTAGATGTCTATGGGCCTCAGCAACCACTTACCATCAGGTGGACTGTGTGCTCGTTTGTCACCCTATCCTATAAAAAAAATGTATATTACCTGAACAATCTATCTGTCAACCATAACACTGATACATCCTACCTCTATGCAAACAGTGCATGGGCAAGTTAATGCCATTTATTTCATTCTTTTCCAGCCTTTTAAATCCACTGATAGATAAATGACATTTCAAGAAAGCACTGAATAACAAATTTCTTTAAAGATTTATAACTAAAAATAAATGAAATAATTTCACATTCAGAAGATGGTGCTCATATCTTGTATTATTATTTATTATACACACATTAAAACCCCAAATTTAAAATGTGAAATTATTTTATTTCTTTATTGTTTTTTGAAGTCGGGTTTTATTTCTTATTAAAAGCTAACAGCCTTACTTATAACACTTATATACATATTAAATAGTATTATCTCTATATCTCTTTATATTATCATTTAGGTAATAGAGAGAGAGCAACTTTAAACACCAAAATTGCTGCCAATTTTTATGAGGAAGGTTGTAAATTTGTTTTTTGTTCCTTTAAGCAATATATTTCTTGATGATCTTCCCCATTGATGAAGAAGAAATCTCTCTAGAAAAAAGTTGATCACAAAGAAACAACCTAACATACATCCACCAAAAAATTACAAGCTTAGGAAGCTCAGTAAAAAAACACAAAAAAGATAAGGCTTGAAGCAGAAGTGTTGCAAGGGTATAAAAACAAAGTGTACCAATGTAAACAATCTATTGATGTTAAAGAAAAATAATATTTATAATCTTCTGACAATGACATGGACGTACCTTATCAACAGAGCCTAAGTTATATTCACTTGATTCTGTTTTTATTGACTTTTCCTTTGATTTTGATCTTTCTTTGGTCCTATCCTTTTCAGGAGTCTTCTTCCTTGACGACTTACTGCCGGAGCCATTCCGTTTGTCATCTCGTTTATCACTGCATGACAAAGAGTAGTACAGTACATCAACATAATATGCTTTTCTGTGTATAAAATCAAAATAATTTACTGAATTGAATGGTGTTGAATTCTCAATAAATATTCTTTAAAGTCTAGTCCTTCGTGCGTGTTGATTTGCCATAATTGCCACATATGGCCAACAGGTTTGGGCAAATGAAGTTTTTTTATTTAGTTGCTATCAGAAAGATGCTGCTTCTTCACCATCTCCCAATCATCACCTCTAACAACACCCATGGTGGCAATTAGTCATATAGTTTGAAGAACTGACAACCAACCAATAGGGAAGAAAGGTTTTCGAGTGGCAGCTTCTCATCAGTATACAAAGTGTAGGGTGGCTCTCCACTAAGTGGACTGACAACCTAGTAAGACATGCAGGAAGTCAATGGATGCAGGTAGCTAAGGAAAATGTTCTGTGGCATTCATTAGGAAGAAGCCGACATTCAGCAATGGTATTGTGAAAGGCTGTAATGATGATAATGATAGATTCTTAGTGTAATAACAGTAATAGTAGTAATAAATTGCACCAGAGTTAACTTTACGATGACCAGAAGAAAGTTTCTAAGACTAAAACGGTTCAGAGAATTGAGCTTGGCAAAAGGAGAACTGCAATTAATAACATCGAAGAAGTAAATAAAATATATTATAATTATAAGTACTGACTGCATACATGAAACCATCACTGGATTTCATTTTATAAGTCTTCTTGGAAGAGCAACTATGGGATATTACTAGGGCAGTGTTTGACCACAATCCCACCAGATCTATTTACCATTAGATGGTAAATAGATAGATAGATAGTAGGATGGATGGGGTATAACCATCTTGTTAAATTCTGAAGTAAAATACTCAGTCCAGCGACAGACAGCAGCATCAAAGATGCAATAGGTTTAGTACTATGAGCAACAATCCTACTGATAAGAATGGAGACTAAGGCAAACCCTCCCAACAGGAAAGGCATCATCCAACAGTAATCTTTTGCTGGTTGATGAAGGAAAAAACCCAGATATTCACATCCTAACTGATTCAGTTGCATACCACTTTATAAAATATTATGTTTTACTATAATGATAAAATTATTGTTTACCTAGTTCATATGTTCTAGAAAGTACCGAGATTAGATTGTATATAATATATAACAATCTATATGACCATAACTCAAAAAATTATACTTAATTTTTTTTTAATACTCACATATCAACACAAACAAAACCCTATATTACTAAGATTTTTAAGTTAAATATGTTCAATATAAAAGCAGGTATCTCTACCACTTCCCATTCCCACAGTAAATTTAAGTATTTGTTCAGTTTGATTAATTCTTCAGATGGATAAGTAAATAACAGGAAAGAAGTTATACTTTTGAGTTTACTTTAGTATTAGACCATTGAAAAGAAACAGCACATAAATTTTTGTTATAGGATCATAATTAAAATGATAGAACATTCTGAAACAATTAAAAACATCTAACAGATTTCTTTTCTCATTTAAATAATACGCACCTTTTTCTATCCCGATCTCTGTCTCTGCTTCGGTCTCTCTTAGACTCCCTATCTCTGCTACGGCTACGTTTTCTTTTAGAAGACTTGGAAGTGCGATCTCTACTCCGCGATCGGGAACGTCTGCGTTTACGATCTGGCGAAGCTGAGCGGCTGTGGGAACGCCTGCGATCGCGATCCCTATCACGGTCTCGTCTGGTAAAATGAAAGTTGTACTATTGTACTATTTATGGCTTCTCAACAACTTTTAGGACATAAATTAATGTAACTTACCCGCTTCTAACCATATTTCAATTTACAGTTTATGGATATTACTGTAAAGTTATTTAAAAACATTCAACAACGTTAATTCGACTCTACATACTTTTTACAAAACACAAACAAGGTTAGATAGTGTTAGTGATGAGCTGATGGGTCAACTCGATTTACTATAGTTTGAGTGCCAAATCGATTGAGAAAAACGGGCAATGACTTTGCGGTCGTTTAACCAGGGGTTACAAACCTTCAAAATATAGGCACATTTTATATGTAGTACCTTCTTTATTTATAACGATTTTTTTATAATGATTGATATAGTATGTATTTATTAATTATCATTAAAAAGTTATGTAAAAGATCGCTGTAGAAGAAAAATCACCTATTGTTATAAAGTACTTTATTCATTTAACAACAAAAAGCATTAATTTATAACATATATAAAGATAAAACTTTATTTTAATATTATATCAGAACTTTATTTTTATTATGTGCATGCGTACGGGCCCAAAAAAAGTTGACGCATCTCTAGCTGCCATTGTCACGTTTCTTTTAGAACGAACTGACGTAACGCGCGTTTTGTTTATTTTGAAGGGATGAATTTGCAAAAGGTCAATATGGTGATTATATTGCTTCAAATATTTTTTTTATATGAAACTGTTATTAAATGAATTGCTGCCTTACTTACCATAAATTGAAATAAAAAATATATAAAAATTTTCACGATGTACCTGTACATGATGTGTGATATGAATTTTCACGATGTAAGATTTTACGATGTTTATAGGAACCACAGACAATATTATTTAAGAAACAAAAAAACAAAACATATGTGCTGACCTAGAAGCGTGAATAGTATCAATATTTAAATACTGTTATCACATCTCAATTGCGATCTTGTATGTTACACCTTTTGACACTAGGCTCATATCTGAGGTCATTGTTCATTTTGCTCAGTCGATGTGGCACATACTATAGTTCGAGATTCATCAAATATATAAGGTCGAAGGCTGACCACACACAGAATTCCTTTTCGGGATTCCGTTTCGGAATTCCAATTCGTGATTCCGAACGCTAATGTTCATATAAAATCAATGACGGTAGTTTTCCGTTCGAAATTTTGCAGGCAAAACGGGATTCCATGTGTTCGTTCCGTATTCCGTGGGGCTGATCCGTTCGTTTCGTTTTCCGAATTCCGTATGTATGTGGTGGGCCTAAGGTTTCGGGATTCCTTTTCGGAATTCTGATTCGGGATTCCGAACGCAGCAAGCCCATATAAAAACAAACAGTCATTACACTCCTACGGTAGTTTTCCGTTCGTAATTTTGCGGGCAAAACAGGATTCCGTACGTGTGTACCAACCCGACCGACCCGTTTCGGAATTCCGTATGTAGTGTGTGGCGGGCCTCACTCAGGTTCAGGCTGACGTTAATTGAATGAAATATGCGAGCAGGCTGGAGCACAATTCGTTCATCGTGTATATATAATTTGTGATAGTTTAATCATTAATAACATAAGTACCTACGTCATAAAGTCACAGTGATACTATTTTGTTAGATTGTCTACACAAATAGTTTTGTTTATATATATTTATATATATATATATATATATATATATATATATATATATATATATATATATATATATATATATATATATATATGAGTTAACTCGAGTTGAAATTCATGTAACTCGAAGTGAACTCAAGTAACTCGAATTAGTGGGACGAAACTGAGTCTATTTGTTACAAATTGTTTACATGTTTGTTTCCACATCCAATTCCATGTTGCACACATACTAATACGATACTAGTGCATGTGCTGAGACAATTATTATTGCTAGAATGAATCGGTAGGAGTGACATAAAAACGTAGTTCTATACGGAAATTTGGTTTGTGTCTTATATATAGTAAATATCTTATATATATATATATATATATATATATATATATATATATATATATATATATATATATATATATATATATATATATATATAAGTATTATATATATATATATATGTATATATATATATATATATAAGTATTTACTATATATAAGACACAAACCAAATTTCCGTATAGAACTACGTTTTTATGTCACTCCTACCGATTCATTCTAGCAATAATAATTGTCTCAGCACATGCACTAGTATCGTATTAGTATGTGTGCAACATGGAATTGGATGTGGAAACAAACATGTAAACAATTTGTAACAAATAGACTAGTTTCGTCCCACTAATTCGAGTTACTTGAGTTCACTTCGAGTTACATGAATTTCAACTCGAGTTAACTCGATGTTGGTACATCCCTAGTTATTATGATATGAGTTGTGATATTTTACTATAACTAGCTTTACGGCTCTGGGTTCTAAGCCTTCTGAGTTGTGATTGATACAATAAACCACAGATAATAAACTATATAGAGCACAACCATAGAGTATAGAGACCTAGAGATAGAGCGCACTTATCCATGGAAGTTAGAGTACAGGAGAATGATCGCTGTAGAAAATAGTGTCCCAGAAATATGGACACAATAAGTGAAGCGATGCGATCGCTAAGATCGCTCAATAAAAGTCATTTTCAGTCTATTTTTCCGATCAGATGCTAAACCATTTGCACATTCACGCACAATAAAATATTTCTTCATTTTTTAATGAAATAATACTAATTTTTACGAAATTTATCGCGTATATTTAACTTTTTAAATACCCAACGTTTCGAACACTTTACAGCACTCATGGTCACGGGCGGGACTGAGATGTTCAACGTCCATATGTCATAGTTAACCGCGGTTACCATAGATTAAAATTTAACTTTTGTTCCGATCTATACAGTATGAACTCATGGTATCTTGAAGTCTTGCAATTGTATGCTTGGGTTGGGATTTAATTTTATTTATTATCGGATCCCAAGCAGATGGTAGCACCCAGCCATCTTCTCTATTGAAATTAGGATGTTTTTGATTTCAATAGCCTCGCGAATCATCCTTGGAAGGAAACGGTGTTTTTTAGCGAGGATTTGCGGTCTATCAAATCTGATGTAGTGACGGGGGCGATCCTGTACGTGTTCACAGACTGCAGACTTCCCGGAGCGTCGATTCTTCACATCAGCTATTTATTTATTTATTTTTATTTATTTATTTATTTTATTTTAGAAAATTATCGTCCGATATCCAAACTTAATACTATCCCGAAGCTTTTTGAGAAAATAGTGTATGATGCTATATACCCTACCATCAGACCCGCCTTGTTGACCCAGCAGCATGGTTTCATGACTAGAAAATCTACAGAGAGTAATTTATGCGAATATCTTAATATTGTTCACAAAGCAATGGATGCAGGGCTACAGGTGGATGCCGTGTACACCGATTATTCCAAAGCTTTTGATAAAATATGTCATGAAATCCTTATCAAAAAACTAGACCAAATCGGTGTGCACGGTGACCTCCTGCGCTGGCTAGCATCTTACTTGCGTAATCGTACTCAAGCGGTAGCAGTTAAGGGGTACTGTTCTTCGTTTTTACCAATATCTTCGGGTGTTCCTCAGGGCTCGCATCTCGGTCCTCTTTTGTTCAATATTTATATAAATGACGTTCTTTTGCAATTCCAACATTCTAACATACTTCTATTTGCTGATGATAAGAAAATTTTTAAAGTTATTCAAAACGAACATGACTGTGAGCTACTACAAGAAGATATTAATAGATTATACTCATATTGTTCAAATAATCTATTATTCTTAAATATAAAAAAATGTAATGTTATTACATTCAGCAGGAAAACCAAAACTATAAAATTTGATTATAAAATAAATAATGAATCGATAGATCGAGTAACTGAGTTGCGGGACCTGGGCGTATATTTGGATCAAAAATTAATATTTAAATCTCATATTGATAAAATCGTTAACAAGTCCTATAAGATGCTTGGATTTGTCTTACGAATTACTAAAGACTTTAAAAAACCCTCAACTCTAATTATTTTGTATAACTCATTGGTCCGCTCAATATTAGAATACTGCTCAACAGTTTGGAATCCTCAATATAATATTTATATAGAGTCAATTGAAAAAATTCACAATAAATTTCTGAAGCATATACAATTTAGATCAGCCGGTGATGCCTCTGTTTTGTGTAGATTAGCCTCTGACCTAAAATCTCGTCGTACTGTCAGGGATCAGATGTTTTTATATAAAATCATTCATAATAGGGTCGACTCCATACCACGTCTAAGTGAAATAAATTTTAGATGCCAAAGGATAAGTGCTAGAAAGAAACTTTTATTTTGTACTTCCACTATGTGCACAAAATATGGCAAGAAAAATTTTATAACTCGTGCATGTAATTCTTATAATAACATTTTTTCAGATGTTGATGTATTTTCTCTGTCATATAGACAGTTTAAGAAGGAAATTGAAACTGTAATGGGTAAAATTGATATTTCACATTAATATTATATTTTGCCAAAACTTAATTTTAGTTCTACTCACCAAAGTATGTTATGATGCTTGCTTGTTGTCGATGAGTTACTTAACTGTGGAAACTTTATTGTTAATTGTAAGATTAATATGTGTTATGTATTAGACTAAAATTATGTATGTTTCCCTTGAAAATAAAATAAATAAATAAATAAAAATAAATTCCTTAATATTATAATAACCCTTTTTATACAAACTTAGTTTAATAACATTTTTGAACTTTGTGTATGACAAATTTTGTATATTTTCTGGGATTTTGTTGTAAAAGCGTATACATCGCCCCAAGAATGAATTACTGACTTGCTGGAGTCGAGTAACTGGTACTGCCAGCTTGTGTCTGCTCCTAGTATTTACAGAATGAATATCACTTATTTTCGCAAAACTACTTTTATTTTTGTGTACGTACATTACATTTTCATAAATGTATTGAGAGGCCAGAGTTAATATATAAATTTCCTTAAATTTTTGTCTCAGTGACTCTTTTGGTTTTAAATTATATATTGCTCTAATGGCCCTCTTCTGTAAAATAAATATAATTTCAGTGTCAGTCGCG